TTTAACCCCAGGTTTAATCTTTTGGGGTATTCTAGAAAGATTTACCAATGCTTGGAATATTGCAGATTTTTTAAAAGGATGCCCGAATTTTCCAGAAGATCCTATACCGATTTGGTCTATCCTAAAACTTTCTAGGAATACCAGCACTTATGAAAAAATCGCATAGAAATTTTCTACACGGATTGCGTATAGAAATTCTATAGGATTTCTGTATATGATATTCGGATATTTCTATACGAATATTTTCTATACGAATTATTTCAATACATAAATTTTTACATAAATTGTTGTTTTCATACGAAAGATGTCTAAACGCTCCAGAGAAAAACGTAGAGAAATGTCACAACTCCATATGACATGTTTCTATACATGTGGCAGTGGGTCGAATAGGATCAAACCGATAGAAATCGTATGGAAATAATCTGTATAGAAAATATCCGTATAGAAACAACCGAATATCATATACGAAAATCCTATATAAATTCTATACGTAATCCGTATTGAAAATTTCTGTACGATTTTTTCATACGTAATGACTTTCCAAAAGAACGAACACCTGAAACTATTACATCAGTAGTATAATTTGTGAACAATCCACCGGGAAAATAATTCTTTGGGAACGGTAACAAAATGGTCCATATTCAGAATGTTAGGAAAGACAGATTTCATGCCGAAATAAGAGTAAAATTCCTAAAATTTTGATGAATCCAATTGAATTGAAAAATTTTATGATGAAAATGTCAGAATCTATATTAGTGCGGTGCTTATGAAACCATAACAGGTACTAGGAAAACCTCAAACAAAACGTAATATCATCAGATGTGAATTCATATTTAATAATTATTCATCTCAGCTGAAATATCCTTGACCAAGCGGTGAGACTCTATTAATTACGAGAATACTATCGTGTGATTAAGTCACGCTTCCTTGGGTTTTCATGTGCAATAATGATGACAGTGGTGAGATTTTCATGTGATTAAGCATCAAATTTGTATCACACCCAATTATATCATACAGACTACGTCAGGTTTGACCTAATTCCCTGCTCAGATTTTTTAGGAAAATTCTCCGCAATAAATGATCCCAAAAGATCGAAAAATCAAAGCATTTGAATTGGAAAGGCATCGGAAATTGAACAAAATTTTTTTCTGCAATTGGATTTACGAAATAATTCAATACAAAAAAAATAGGTACGGAGTCACATCACGTATGAGGGATTTACAACGATGCAGAAATGAACTCTACCGCTCATTGTACAGTCCTTGAAGTATAACAATGCTCAGCGGAGGAGGTAATGTAGCAATCGGTAGTATCATAGTCACCGATGTGCACCGAATCGTAATTACTCTTCCCACACAATCGCATTGTACCGGACACACGATTCGATAGCAATCGCAAGTAGTCACGTACATAACCAGTTAATATTTGGGGCACAGTGCCACCTGCTCTTGTGTTTTTATTTTCACTCAACCTTTTTTTTCGTAACAACCGACGTGCTTCCCCCCTGCGTATTACGAAATCGGTAGACCATACATTATATTTATCATCAGTTTAGTTTCCCAGATGAGGAAAATGTGACAGCTGTTTTTTCATGACAATGGTTTCATGAAAAAACTGAGTCTTTGGAAGTAAATGAAAAAAATTAAAATGCTGGATTTGATAATAGTGTCTCGACAACGATCGGAAGTTGATAAATTTTTATTAACCTTTCAACCTTCATGGAGAATTCTTCGACATGATAATCGTTCCGAATACTCTGATTTTTTTTAGATCTTGTCGAAGAAATAATTTTCGAGATGTCGACATATAATGGACTACCTGATGGATTTCATTCACTTTACTGACGAAATAGCCATGCAGTAATACGAATTAGTGATGCCGCGAGGCATTTCACGATACATCACGAGACAAAACTTTGGAGAGATGATCTCGATCTCAGTGAACATAGAAATCCTTGGTCTCGTTTCAGTCTCGAAATACGCAATGTCGAGCGTTTTCATGATGATTTAGAGTCAATTTATCTCATCTCGATTTCCAGTTTTTCGCGGGTTTTATATGTAGAAAACCAAGACGAGACAAACCGAGATTTTACATTCAAAAATACGAAAACCTTGAAACCGAGATGAGATAAATTGACTCGGAGTCATCACGAGAGCAGTCGATACTGCGCATTTCGAGACCGAGACGAGAGCAATGATTGGCGTGTTCATTGAGATAAAGTAAAGTGTAAAGAGTAAAGTGTCTCGCGGCATCACTCATACGAATTGTAGAAAATGGTAAATTTTTGCACGGAAGGTTCATAGTTTGATAACTGCATCGTCTACCAAAAAAATGAGCACTTCATATTTTTTAGAAGCATCATCTCCTAAATACACTGTTAGAAAAAGATTGCAATTTCATGGACAAAATGGTAGTAATTCCCATAAAAGTGACATGGAATTTAATCCAAAGGAAACATGATTATGAAATATCACGCTTTAGTCAGTATTCAAGAGAATTTTCACGTTTTTGGTACACGTAAGACGTAAGACGGAAATTTCGTAACTAAATTGAATTTCCATGTGAACATCAATATTCCGGACCAGGATGATCCGAATTTTGAATTTCCAACTGAATGTTCATGATTTTTCTGAATTTTCAGATAGACATTGAACTGCAATTCGTAGTTTTCATTAATTTTCTAATCGAATTATTCGAAAAGTACTAGAATCTTTGACTTTTCAGTAATGATATTTCGTAAAATTTTAGTAGAATTATCACGTGATAAAAATTCCGGGATTCAGCACGGAAAATTCAGATAAAATTTTTTAACAGTATACAATACAGAATTCATCAAAATATTTTGTACATAAGAACTAAAGGTGCTTCTTCGCATGAATAACCTTAGTTTATTGATCCGGTAAAATAATCTTTTAATCCGCAACGAGAAAGAAATTAATAAAAAATAAAAATTACAACTTTGAAATCAATCGTTGAAAGTGGATCAATCGAGGAGAGTTTCCCATATTTTTTATGCAGAACTAACATAAATAGCTTTCAACTTATTTGCAAAAGATGAATTTTCCAGAAATCGCAGAATAGCAGAAATTACGTAATCGAGTCGATTTAATTTATTGACAAAACATGTTAGTGAATAATGCTAAAATTAATGGACGATAAGAGACTTGATGCTCAGAAATGTGCAATTCAATCATTCTATTTAAAGACAACGGAAATGCCGAAGTCTTATATTTGTCATGAAAATTATTCTGTAAATATCCCCGGAGTGAATAAGTCTACAAGAATGTATCAAGAAACTTTTCCTATAGCTCGGAAAAATTCTTGTAACAAATGTATGTTGCTAAATTCTTGTCAACCCTTCGACTCCAAAGATAACTCGTTACAGGAGATAATCTTTCTTCCGTAAAAAATATCAATAAACAAAAACCATTCGGAGGAATTCCATCAACGGATTCACCCATTTTCTCCGCGATAAATTCCCGACCTTTGCCCTAAAAAAATCCCCCGTTAATAACCATGAATTTCATTCCATAATAATTAAACTTTCCCATGGAAACTCTCCTCTATACATTGGATCTCGCAGTGTCGAGCCCCCGGAATGACGCTATCGAAGCCTCGAACGTAGTAAAAACAAGTCTCTCACGATAGACCAATAAGAAAAAAATCCTTCTCACAATACACAACACGAGTTGAGAAAAAGGAGATGGAGAATGGAACGGAGAACGTGTAAACAAGGGACGCCACCTCTCCCGTGCCTTTTCGAATACGAAAGTTACTGAGTCGAGGTCGACAGGTTTTTACTCTCCGTATTACGATGGAACTCGTCCCGCCGAGATGAAATAATTTTCCAAATAAAATGAATGCATTCTGTTGAATACCCACCATAACAAGAGTTAAAAAATCATGTGCTAACGCGTGAAGAGGAGAAGCAGCATGATAATTGGAGTCGCCTTCCCTCAAAAGACAGTTTGTAATTGATAGCTCCGCCTGTTCACGTGTATGAGTAAATATTCTAAACCTGTTATGCGTTCAATATTTTCAATCGACCACTAGAAAAACAAATAATGAATTTGTTCTAATTCCCTCGCTCCCAGTTTCTCACTCTTTAAATTGTCTTCCGGTTTTACAGTTGCGTGTTCTCCCCCATCTATATTTTTAAACCCACGGAAGGACTTCGATCGATGCCCCAAAGGGACGAAAATATGTGGAAAAAGAACAGCAGGAAAGTACATGTTATGTGCTCAACGAAAACTGCAATAATGAATTCATGAGTCGTTGATTCTGTTTTTCTCTCTTTATAAGCCAACAAACTACGGTCTATTGATTACGCGATGGTACACACTCACTGGAAAAAATAAGTACGCGTTTTTTCCTCAACCATTCATCTTGATAGAACGATAGAGTGCTGTAAAAAGAACTAATGCTAATCGATCGAACAAAAGCATCAGGAGGGGAAGGAAAAATTTCCTTTGTTTCGGGTAATTTTTTGGGTATCTTACTTGTATAATCATTTGAGACGCTTCGGGAGCTACCAAGAAGCTTCCGCGTTGCATTTACGCGGGAAGGCGCCCACTCAAAATAAACGCGAATGCAGCAAAGCAAATGATGGAATATGACAGAAATTCATTCAGCAAAAAAAAAAGGAAAATTGCTAAAATTGTATCTTAACAATTTCGATTTTTTTTTTCGCGTTGAAAGGCTCCCGGAGGAAGTCTCAACCTTTTTCTAACTCTATTCAAGTCCGCACTGCAGCCTCCTTACAAACAAATCGTGGGAGTGAGTCGATCTAATGGGATGCTAACGTGCAAAAAGACTTTCTACGGTGCAATGAACAGTTGGTCTTTCATCCCATCTCGATAATTATGTTGGGGAGCGACTAAAAAAAATTTAGACCATGTTGTTACAACGGAAAGGGGTGACAGTGATTGAGTGACCCCACTGCAATTTCACTCAAGATAATGAATGAAAAAATTCATAGCTCCTATGATTAATGTTCTTACTCATTCGAAAACAATTCAAGACATCTCACTCTTTTATTTGTCAGTCAAGAGTTGATTCGACTTTCTCCAGCAGCCGGTGCACAACGTATCAACAGGTCCACACCCAAAATACCACTGTTTATGTTATAATTCGATTATTATTATTTTCAATTCGATTATTCGATTCACCCGATGGGAAAACTTTATTAATTGTGAGTGAGGAGAATCACAAGTTTTTTACGTGTTACTCAAGCGACTATCGGAACTCAACTGAAACGTAAAACAGTTTTGCGTCTCGGCGACGGCTTAAGTCATCGCTCACTAATATGCGTGTGTTCAGCGGCGTTCTCCTGGGGTCCGATTTCCCCTTAACTCGAGGCAGCAGTTAAACGTGCCATACCAGACTGCAAACCATTTTTCTTTTACTACATGCCCCATTAGGAGGAGTGGAGGGGAGAGGGATGTTAGGGTAAGTAAACGTCAATGTAAATGGCAGTGCAAGAAAAAAGGATTTTTTTTAAATTTGGAAGCTTTCCAGGTGAATAGAAGTATTATTGTCGCTGTTCAATTCTCCGATTCGCTGATGTTTCCAGGAAATGACCGCAAAGTTTAAGAAAGATGTCTCTGTTCTGATTGAAAATTTCACCTTAAGATGCGAGTTGAAAATTTTGAAATGTCTAAACGGGAAGACAAATACGCTAAATTTATCGTTGAATTTTATTAATCATGTAGCACATGGGACATGAGATTTTACCTCCTATAAAGTGTGAACCTCGCGAGATATCAAATAAATAAACAAATAAGTCCAAGTGATATTTTACAATAGTTTTTGCGAGATCTTTACTTAAAACATTGGTATTTTTACTTCACCCGAAATCAAACTAGGCGTTGTTCTCACGGTTCGCCTGAAGCTCGGACTTCCCTAGCCCCCACCACGACTTCCCATCTAGTCGATACGCTGACAGCAAAAGGTATGAAATTCATGTGAACAATTGACACTTACATATTTTATGTTTTTTGATGTGCTGAAACCGAATTTATTACTCAGCTCGCAATACGGTTATGCAGTTAATAGTTAATAACAATTTAATTATTTCAGTGGGTTTTACGCCGCCTTTTGATAGATATAATAAAATGTTGCAAGCGAACAATGTTTTTTGGATATTAATGAACAAAATGAATTTTGATTTTTGGAAATCAGTCAATTTTTGCGGAAGATATAGTAGCTTGCTATAATTGGGCGCTCATGTCACTTATGAGTAAGACCAGAGACTTCATTCAGTGAAGGGGTCTGGTAACACAATGGCTAAACAACCCATGCATAGTTGTCTAGCGATTTTGTTATTAGACTTTTTATTAAATGAAGTCTCCTGCCCTACTTATGACGCGTGGAGTGGCGCATACACCTATAATATAGAACATATTGAAAATTCCAAATCTTGACCAAAGATTATGAGTCTTGCAAGAATAATATATATATATATATATATATATATATATATATATATATATATATATATAT